GCACCAGTAAGACATAGTTGAATGTGAAAGAATCCGAATTACTCAGTCAGTTTGTTGGCAGGTCACAAGAAACTCTGTCAAATCCATACATCTCTTCAGGCCGGGGTTTTGCTGAAACCAATCTTTCGGGACCATGAAAGCTTTTGGTCTTGCAGTTCTGGCCTTGTATAAAGATATATTATACCAGTAGTACCCGCACGAGGCGGGGCGGAAGTTGCCTTAAAGATATATATAAGACCTTTCTCATCTATAGAACTTGCATGCGCCGTGCGCCAGCCAAGCCCGTGCGTGCGTGCACTCTGCGAAAGTGGTGTCTTGTTTCACATGTCACATTTGAAGCTCCACTTCACACTTCACAGTTGACAGTCTGCACACTCCACACTGCACTCTTCACACTGCACTCTTCGCACTTCACACTCCACACTCTTCACACTTCACACTGCACTCTTCGCACTCCACACTTCACACTTCACACTGCGCACTTCACAGTCCACACTTCACACTGCACTCTTCGCACTCGAAACGTCACACTTCACAGTCCACACTTCACACTCCACACTTCACACTGCACTCTTCTTGCCCCACACTTCACACTGCACCCTTCATCTCATCTGAGCTCTTCTCACCTTATCCCAGCTGAGCTCTTCTCATCTCATCTCTTCTCATATGTCATCTAAGCTTTCATGAATCACTTCCCAGTACTACTACAAAGGAACTTGCAACACACAGCCCATGCAACATCATGCAGCCATTACAATGCGTTTCGCAGCATCCCGTAGCAAACCTGCACCTATCTACGCACGTGGCAACATCAAATGACAACAATGAAGCAGCCATTCCAATGCAATCTGCATCCAGAGATTCAAGAACCGCATAGAACTACTCACACAGACACAACCACTCGTTGCAAAACACATAGGAGGAACAATTCGCGCACAAAACGGCCCCAGCCGCAACCGCCGCACCGACGAGGTAGCTTTCATCGCCGGCTGCAGCCACTTTACACGGAAAAACACAAGGTTTCGTGCTCCGGCTTCCTCCCCAACACACAGCCCATGCAACATCATGCAGCAATTCCAATGCAATCTGCAACCAGAGATTCAAGAACCGCATAGAACTATGCACACTGACACAACTACTCATTGCAAAACACATAGGAAGAACAATTCGCGCACAAAACGACCCCAGCCGCATCCGCCGCACCGACGAGGTAGCTTTCATCGCCGGCTGCAGCCACTTTACACGGAAAAACACAAGGTTTCATGCTCCGGCTTCCTCCCCAACACACAGCCCATGCAACATTCATGCAGCCATTACAATGCGTTTCGCAGCATCCCGTAGCAAACCTGCACCTATCTACGCACGTGGCAACATCAAATGACGACAATGAAGCAGCCATTCCAATGCAATCTGCAACCAGAGATTCAAGAACCGCATAGAACTACGCACACAGACACAACCACTCGTTGCAAAACACATAGGAGGAACAATTCGCGCACGAAAACGCCCCGCCGCACAGACGAGGTAGCTTTCATCGCCGGCTGCAGCCACTTTACACGGAAAAACACAAGCTTTCGTGCTCCGGCTTCCTCCCCAACACACAGCCCATGCAACATCATGCAGCCATTACAATGCGTTTCGCAGCATCCCGTAGCAAACCTGCACCTATCTACGCACGTGGCAACATCAAATGACGACAATGAAGCAGCCATTCCAATGCAATCTGCAACCAGAGATTCAAGAACCGCATAGAACTACGCACACAGACACAACCACTCGTTGCAAAACACATAGGAGGAACAATTCGCGCACAAAACGACCGCAGCCGCACCCGTCGCACAGACGAGGTACCTTTCATCGTCGGCTGCAGCCACTTTACACGGAAAAACACAAGGTTTCGTGCTCCGGCTTCCTCCCCAAAACATAGCCCATGCAACATGCATGCGTCACCACTTCCCATCGTCTCCACTTCCCTTTGTCACCACTTCCACCCTTCATCAAGGTCAACTCCATAGATTCTTATTCTTTTGTTCTGCATTGTTCTGTTATGTATTGTTATGTGATCTACCACCCTTCATCAAGGTCAATTCCACCGCTTCTACCACCCTTCATCAAAGTCAATTCTTTTCTGATGTATTGTTTAGTTTTGTAGTGTAAAATCTCACACCACCCTTCATCAAAGTCAATTCTTTCCTGATGTATTGTTATGTAGTGCAGAGTCTCACACCACCCTTCATCAAAGTCAGTTATTTTCTGACGTATTGTTATGTAGTGTAAAGTCTCACACCACCCTTCATCAAAGTCAATTCTTTTCTGATGTATTGTTTTGTAGTGTAAAGTCTCACACCACCCTTCATCAAAGTCAATTCTTTTCTGATGTATGGTTATGTAGTGCAGAGTCTCACACCACCCTTCATCAAAGTCAGTTATTTTCTGATGTATTGTTATGTAGTGTAAAGTCTCACACCACCCTTCATCAAAGTCAACTCTTTTCTGATGTATTGTTTTGTAGTGTAAAGTCTCACACCACCCTTCATCAAAGTCAATTATTTTCTGATGTATTGTTATGTAGTGCAGAGTCTCACACCACCCTTCATCAAAGTCAGTTATTTTCTGATGTATTGTTATGTAGTGCAGAGTCTCACACCACCCTTCATCAAAGTCAGTTCTTTTCTGATGTATTGTTATGTAGTGTAAAGTCTCACACCACCCTTCATCAAAGTCAGTTATTTTCTGATGTTGTTATGTATAGTAAAGTCTCACACCACCCTTCATCAAAGTCAACTGTTTTCTGATGTATTGTTTTGTAGTGTAAAGTCTCACACCACCCTTCATCAAAATCAATTATTTTCTGATGTATTGTTATGTAGTGCAGAGTCTCACACCACCCTTCATCAAAGTCAGTTATTTTCTGATGTATTGTTATGTAGTGTAAAGTTTCACACCACCCTTCATCAAGGTCAAGTCTCACTCGCGCACCACCCTTCATCATAGTCAATTCCATCAAGTAAAAGTCATTCGTAACTCGGAAGCATTGCTTCCCAACTTCCTTTGATTATTATTATTATATATTATGAGATATTATATATTATGATTATGATATATTTCGATATATTACCATATATTATGGAATATTACGATGTATCAGATCTTGCTATCCTTGTTGATACGACCGAACGTATTTCGAACCGGGACTGTGTCGACTTTGTCTTCATGCTTTCAAAATCCGTTGAGTACTTTCATGGTTTGGTCTGCTACTCTGACTCCTTTCTCTTCAAGTATGTGTTTGCCGCTCTGCTCTCCTTGACAGCTGCTGACCCGGGTGTCTTTTGTTGGCACTTCCAAAAGACGCGCAGAACATGTTGGCACAGGAAAGACCTTGTTGGGTCGAAGGCATAGAAACTGCTAAAATATGTTGCGAAAACCAAGACTACTTACTTAGAGGATGGTAAGAACATGTAAGAACCCTGTTGATCATGTTGATCACTGTTCCGTATTGCCGGGGTAGCGTCGTGGATGTGCATATCACAGATATGTATCGCAATTTATCGCATGTATTATGTATATCATGGGAATCCATCACACTCGTGTAGTGCATCAGCATGCACGTACACCGTACACATACTGGAGGTGCACACACACACAGTACACATACACACGCATTTGTGCGCACGTATATACCTTTTACATCCTTTTACAATCGTACTACACTACATACTATACTGTGCATGTAGTTTTTCCGACATGCCTGCTATTGCAAGAGGCTTCTAAAGCTCCAGTCATGAATGGACTTGTGTAGAACTTGCTTCAGTGGACACGTTGACTCCGTTGCCTCTGCTCTGCACAGTGCTGCCTCTACTTGTGGCGGCACTTTGCCTACAAGTCTTGGCTGCAGTGGTACAGGCCTGGCGCAAAAACTGCGCAGAGTTTCTTGCTTTGCATCGTTTACGTTGTACCGTTGTACCTCGTGCATCTGAAGGTAGTGGCCGTTTCGGAAATGATCAGGCGGTCCTCAGAGCACCTCAAACAGACTCAAACATGTTTGCGTCATCCGATTTTGTGCTGCTAACCCTAACCCTAACGTTCGTTCACTTCAAAACTATTCAAAACTGCTGCCAAGGGTCCTTGCGACCGGCCTCCTAGTGAGTGCATGGTGCCGCTCTCCCAAAGGTCTTGAGATGCAGAGGAGGGGCACTTTTTCAGTCCGGTTTCCATCGGTTTCCCACCATTTCTTCATATTTCTTCGCTGGGCGCAGGACTATCACATTGGCCAACGACGTGCTGCATCAGGTCTCCTGTCTCCTGTCTCCTGTCCATTGTGGTCCTGTGTCGAGTTTGAAAACAGCAAGCTGAATTCGCCGTCGAATTCGCCGTCGAATTCGCAGTCGAATTCGCCGAATTCCTTCGTCCCTTCCTTCGAGTCGTTCCGAGCTCGTTCGAAGCTTTGCAGGTCACCTGAGATCAAAGGAGCACGATGTGCGGGCCGGCCGGCTTCACAATTATCTTTGGAAAGTAAAAAACCGGGTGGTTTAAAACAGACAACCGAGACAACCGGGCCATTTGACATGCTTGGAACCATTGAATCCGTTGAATCTCTGCAGTGAGGAGAACTTGGAGCTAAGCTCCTGGAAGCTTGCTGCGACGCTGAGTGGTTCCACTGCTGTTGTGAAAAAGATTTGAGCCGAGCACAGCTGTGCTACATCAGATTCCTTTGAATGTAGAGACAGAGCCTCTGCCAAAAGTGCATAGACTGCATAGACCGCATAGACTGCATAGACAGATTCCTTTTATGTTCTTTTTGACGGCGCGTGAGATCTCGCTCAAGACCTCCATGCGAAGTTGAAGTGATGAACAGATTTTCGCAGAAAAGCAGCATAAACGACACATAAAACGAAGAAAATGACAAAGGAAGGCTTTCTCATTCCATATTTTGCGCCATATTTTGCAGTATTTTGTGCTGGTATGTGATACACTTGCATTGCTTTTGGAGACTGAAAGATACTGAATACGGGTCCAATGGCGGCAGACTGCGAGGATGGATCCGCCTTCTATCGATATTTGTCGGCCCTAGGCTCGGAATATGAGAAAATGATCCAAGAGAACATGGCTTTACGAAAGCTACGAAAGGAAGGGGAGCTGACAGAGCCTGAGAAATCTGAGAACGCGAAAGCGGAAGGAGCTCTACACGGTGACCGACACGGTGAAGCGCACGACGGAGCGCACGACGGAGTGCAAGCTGCAGGAGACAGAGCGGAAGGCTCTGATGGATCTGATGGCGCCAAAGTTCTCAAAGTGGAGAAGAGTGAGATGAGTCGCCATGGAGACAATGGAGACACCACGACCGGAGGGACCCTCAGATCGTTGGCGCAGGACCCGACGGAATGACCTTGGAGTTGCCCAAGGGCCCAAACATGCCAAACATGCCAAACATGCCAGTTTTTGGTGGTTTGTTATGGTTTGTCGCTTGTTCAAATGCCAGGATGAAGTGATGAAGTGCATGCTTTTGCGAGGAATCAAGCGCATTAAGATGATTAAGCTGCTGTCAAGGGTTGCAAAGGCTTAGCTTAGCCCAAAAAATGATTTAGCAAAGGAACGCACGTGCCCTTCAGTCTTGACAGGCATACTGTTCGCTTTTGGGTTTCGGGGCGACTGAAAAGTCGTTTCAAACCAACAAGGCTTCCCCTGCACAAAGTAGTTTCGATATAGGCTTCGCATTGGCACTGTCGCAATTTCGGTCAGCCAAAAAATTAAGGCAACCAGGGATGATTGTCCAAGTGGCACATAGGCCCCCATGTCCCTCACTGGTATGCCTTGGAGTTGGGTAGAGTATGGTTTGTCAAACCAATGCAAAGTGTATATCCAAGACTGACCCTGCTAGATACAGACTGATGACTTAGAGGCCCCGTCACGAAATTGTCAAAATGTAAGTTCCTTCTGGTTTGTCACAAAGTTTTAGATTGTGCGCAGTGCATTGTCTTTGTTAGTAAAATCCAATTGGGCGGACTCGAAGTCTTCGAGGAGTGGGAAGATTCGGCATCGATGCATTCCATGCATTCGATGCAATCTGTGGATGCTCCAGTAGCACCTGTCGTGGCATCTGCTGCTCCACCTCCTCCAGAGACTCCAGCACCTTTCGCCCCAGACGCTTCGCATCCATCGACGCCAAAGAAGACTCGAATCAGCTTGGACCCTGCGGAGGATCCTCAACTGCCTGGTGGCGTGGAGGCTGGGGCCAATCCTCGTGGTGTGTTGTTCGTGATGCTTAAATCGAGGTCGGTGTCGGTGCCGTAGTGCTGTTTGTTGGGTTGCGTTTCCGAGCTTCGTTGGTTCGCTGAGCGAGGGCTGCACCACTAGCCTCAAGAAACCTGTGCAAGACCTTGACCTTAGAGCACCACAAAAAGCGGTTCATGACAAACCGGTCCATGCGGGGCACCTCACCATAAGCGCAGGTAACAGTAGATGCATGATGATGCATGCAGAAATTGAGAAA